CGATATTTAGTCGACTAAGAAGAAAAAAGGAGAAGAAAAGTCCCAATGGAGGAAGGAGGGGGGCCGGGGGTGGGTGGGGAAGCTTTTAGGGGGAAGCTTTTAAAAAGAAAGAAGATGAAAAAAAAAAAAAGAGGAGATGATAGAGGAAAAATGAAAGAGAAGACATTGTGAAAGAAGAGGATAGAGGAAGACAGAAGGAGAAGAAGAGAAGGAATTATACTTATGTATGGCAAATTATTAGATTTAGTTAAAATTAATTAAGTTGTGAGGTATTTTTACATTATCCGATCACAAAGGATTAACCTAGAGATAATACCATATAGGTCCCAAAGAATTTGTAAAAAAAATTTATTAACTTAAGAAAACGAGTGAGAAAGAAGTCTCGATATCTCATAAAATAAAGTAACTTTAGAAGTAATTTAGCAAACACTTAATGTATTAGAGAGAACAGAAAGGAAGAGAAAAATAAGGACTTTAAAATATAAAAGATTAGTTATAAGTCCATAAACAATTGCTCATTGGGTGTCTTTGACTTGTTAGTAAGTTTCCATATGTTTTACGTACAAATTTATGAATCCAATCAATGCTCAACTCTTCCCAAAGCCTTATCTCATCTTGTATCGCTCGAGTGATTTTAAGGTGTTAAGATAGTTGATATTTTATACTATATATATATAATATATAGAAAACAGATTAAAAATAGATTATTTTGATATAGTTTTACCTATTCTAATGAGCGATTGCCCTACAACTTTAGAACCTATTCATACTTATATTTTTCAAGCAATAACATAGAAAAATAATATAAAACATGTTACTAAATATTTATACAAGCAAATGAAAATAATGAATGATTTATTAACAAACGTGTTAGGCGTGAGATAACCGTCCATGATAGGACGATGAGTCATGGGTTGACCCGTGAGATGGCCACACGAAGAGAAATGAGAAAGGTAGTGTTCTTGGTGAAGAGGATTCATATTGTCTATTTTAAGATTTGAAGACTGATAATATATGATGCCTCGATCAATACATGCCGTCCATTTTGTATCAGCAAACCGTCGATCAATAGAAATAGCATTTACACACCACCATTTTAGCTTACGTTACTTGCCATGCCAATACTACACGCCTCACCAACCAAATCCAACGCATCAAACACTCCTTAGTTTCTTGGTCGTCTAAGAAGACATTAGACTTTGTGATCACCTCAATCACAATGTCATGAAAGGCTTGTCGTTCCACTTGCCTACTCAAATAAGAACACCTCGATTCCTCGCTTTCCCCTTCATTGACTTTGACTTTTGGCCTAGTTTGATCCCCTTGTTTCCTTGCAACCTCTGACTTTTGTGCTTCCAACGCATCAACAGACCCTTTGTCATGCACTTGAAATGTCAAAGTTAGGAGAAGAAAGAGCCGATCCACCTAAAACTTCAAACATGGCTGTGAGTTTGACTCCACTTTTGACTTGCACGTTCCCAAGTCAGACTTTGGACACATGAATCACTCCCCCCTCCTTCAAAGTCTCGGAGGTAACCAAAGCTTTAAAGTCTGATCTCCCAACACTTCTCTCTTCATCTCTCTCCTTTGAACTGGTCTTTACTCTTCATGGCCTCTACCATGGTGTTCCCGAGAAAAGCCATCGCTGTCATCTTGCTTCTTCTGCTTGTCTTCCTCCATCCGTCAGCAGCCGCCGCAAGGCCTTCGGGTTACGGTCCTCCGACGAACCGACGTCCGTGCGACATGGCGAAGATGACCACCGTTGGCTCAAGAACGGAGACGGAGAGGTATGGGAAGATGTTCTTCGTCAAGCTTCCAAGAGGGGATTTGCCACCGCCTTCTGGTCCGAGTGATGGATCCAATGAGACCAAGAATTGAATGGAAGAACAACTCTGGCTTCTTCTCTTTGTGTTCCTTAGGGTTTTTGTTGCATGCATATATGCACACAAACATATACACTCTTCTTGTTGATTTCTTATACATGCAAATAGTACAGTAGAAGGGAGATTGAAAGCTGTATAATAACATTTGTGGCATGTTCATTTTTGATCATATGAAAGCATAAAAAGTATGTCATTTAAAGATAGATTTGTTGTTGTCTAATCTTTATTCATGCATGAGTAAAACATGAGTTGTTCACATGCACACCATCAAATTAAGATATGATTTGAAGTACAACACACTCTCCAAGTTAGTTGGCTAACTAAGATATATGCTTTTGCTCTCTTTTTCTCTATCATAATGCCACCATCAACAATAAAATGTTATTTAATGTAATGAAAATTTCTTTCAAAAAAAAATAATGAAATATTATACAAGCATATATTATATAGTAATATGGTGTACATCAACATATAATAAATCCAAAATTATCTTTGGGACTCATTTATAAATGAGATGTGACCATGTAAACGTTTGTCCATACCCAATGGTTGTGCCCATGGTGGCCTAAAGCCAATGGACAAATGAATTAGGACCTCATTTTGTACTGTGGTCCTAAATTGAAGGCATTCATTCGCAAGCACAAAATGTGTTTTGTTGTAACCTTTGATGGAAGAAACGAGGCACAAAGTTAGGGTGGTAGAGATTGATTGAATTGGAAACAAACAAGGTTGCTTAAGAGTCTAAATGTTTTTTGGGTGTTGAAAATTCCTTGAGATGGGATATGTATCTACTCATACCTAACTAAGTATTCTATGTACTATATAACAACACAAATCTATTTACACTCCTGTCTAAAAATTCTAAATCGATATGGAGGGATCGATTAAAAGTAATAGTCCAATCGAATAAAGGACCAAACCTCAAAGATACACCAAAAGAAAACTAGATGGATAATAATGTAGAGAAATAAAAGGGAAACTATATCTTGTTATAAGACATTCAATTCACCCTACTCTAATATCTTATCTTATCTTATACTCAAGAAGTAAGATAATATGCTTATAGCCACATAATTAAATTGGAAAAAAAAAATCTAGTCATCCTTAGTGTCCTATCTTAGTTCGGTCGACCCGAAACTAATGTCATTGGGTCGAGTCAAGACTCATATCCTAACCAAATATTTTGAGTCAAATTTGAGTTAGGAATTGGATTTGTATAAAGTTAGATCAACAAGACTTATGGGTTTGAGATGGCGATTCATACATGTTTCGAGTTAGGTTTCCGGTTATGGGGATCGATCGATTAAAATCCCTATAGCTTAGCTATTGCTTTTTTTTTTTTTTGTCATAGAATTAAGAAGAGTATGAATTAGTCGTACTATGTATTGGCTGTTGACCGAAATATCAACTTCAGATTTTGGGTTGAATCGATGTACAATCTCTCCTTAAAATAGTAATAAAAATTTGGCACAAGCTCAGCCTTGAAATCATGATAGGAGAGTGAGCTCCAATTCATGGCAAGAGGTGAGTTGCATTGAGGTGGACATCAGTTCTGGTCCCCCTTCACATGAAATGTGATCTGCTTCAGCCAGCTTGGTTTTAGTTTCAGAGACGAAGGGATGCAATGGAGAGCAGTACTGAGAGTGATGCAATTGAGATCGCATCCTCACGCTGAGCTGTAAAGTGGTGAGCTCTCAATGAAAGGAAAACTCAGAGAAGAGGTCTGCACTCTAGTAAAGAGCTGTTCTCCTAAAGCTATGATAGCAGGAGAATGATCAAGTGGAGCCTCCATAGCACTCTCTTCTTGCATTAGTGAAATTGTACCCTCTCTCTCTCTCTCTCTCTCTCTCTCTCTCTCTTTCTCTGAGTATATTTTGCAGGTATATATCAACTTTTAAACTCGGCTCTTTTAAGGAGGTAATTGTAGAGGGATTGATCTGAAGATAGTCCTACCTCTTGAGGTATATTGTATGATGAACTTGACAGGTAGTAGAGAAACAACATCCAAAGCTAATATGTTAGAGATGCATCCGTTGGCTTTCTGCACTTGTGCTACTAAAATCAACTCACTAATTTATCTAGAACTAAAAGAGAATTTTAATGATACATGTGCCTGTTCTACTGAATGTAATCTACAGTATGCATCTCTCCTGCACATGTTTACAAGCATATCAATAATTCAATTCAACATAGTGTCATTCAGACCAATAAAAGTTTGGTGATCTATGTGTTGTTGCAGGAGCAGCCAGCTGCTGTTTATGACAGACCAGTTTGCTTTGATCCTGTGGTTGATGTTGTGTTATGGCCAAAGTCATGGAATCTATGAATTCCATCCAAATTTAATATACTTTCTTTTTTTCTTTTCCTTCTTTCTCTTCAGCAGAAAAATGGGTAGCATTATTCCATGAAATAACTGGAAAAACATAATGTGACAGCCTACTCCTCTAGCTAAAGGAAGAACTCTGAGAACATAAATTTTGAAAAGGTCCCAATCTCTGGCCTAATGATAGCATAATCTCTTCAACTTTCCAGGTAAGAAGGCACATGAGGGTGCCTCTTTGGCACCTTAATTAAACTTATCATCAAGACTCATTAGATGCACACCATAGAAACTATGTTCCTTTAGATGTGGAACACTCCTTTAATGTGGTTTCCTGTAGATCTCATTCTGCTAATAGGAAAAGGAAACCTATTTTGTTTCTTTGGCAATTTCTTTTGCTTTTAAACTCCTGATATACATGAATTCTAACTTTATAATTTGCAGAAAATTTTGCATGCATAACACTCACTAAATGACATCTATTGTTCTGATTCAGGAATCCTTTGACAATAACTGTAATACAGTTGGCTGCAAGAAAACTTAGCATCTGCAATCTTTTGGTGGTCTACCAGCACTCAATGATCATCTTCATTGCTGGTATTTCAAATTCTTAGAATCCTACAAATGAAAGATGAGGAACTGATTTCTTTGGATCTTGTAATCCATAGATGGCATTTTCTTCGTCCATCTACTCATGGGTTTGACCCCACCATATACTTAACGGACGCAACCCCAACCTTTGGTCTTCCTTACATCCCAATCTCTCTTTCTCCCACTACCATCTATATCAACCTCAACTCCAGAAAACAATGCATAAAGCTATTACCATACAAGACCTCCACATCACAGAGACAAAGGTCCTTCTTTGAGAGAGGTATAGTTTGATAGAACTAGTTCTACTCCTTCATGTGTTCATCAACTACTTGACAGTGAAGGATAGGATTCTGAGGTCATTTGTGTGTGTTATCTCCGTGAAGGACATCCTTGTGAAGATTTCAGTTGTCATAGATGGGAAAGTATAGGTTTTGGCTGTCTGATATGATGTCAAAGTCTTGGTTCTACAAGCTTAAACATATGGGAAGAGGAAACAGAAGCCAAAGCATTCATCGCTCCATGAAGAGAAGCCAGTCTTCAGCAACAACCGCAGCTTCCGCTGCAACACTACCTCCGGCGACACAGCAAGACTGCCTCCCCAACAGAGCCTCCTCCTACATCCCAAGCAGAAGAAGAACACCAAAACTCCCTCGCTCTCCCATCAACATTAAGGCCTCAGACACCCACTTCCCTCCAGGAGAGCCGAAGACGCCGAAGCGGAAGACCCGAAGAAGGCCTCTCAAGCCATGCGCCCGTCATGACAATGATCCTTGTAAGCATGTAACCACAAGCTCTTCCACCATGTTCAAGGAGTATGAGGACTTGGAGGTTGTATCGGAGCTGAAGCTCGCACCAATCCTGACCAAGCCAGTGGAGAAAGAAGCACGCAGGGCTGCAGCAAGGAGATCGGTGTCGGGAGTTCATGGAATCAAGGTGCGGCAGAACTCTCCAAGGGTGGGAAGCAGGAAGGCGCAGGCTGGGAGGAACCACAACGCCGCAGCATCCGAGGCAACAATGCGGCGGAGAGCACTGCTATCCGAGAACTTTGTGGTGATCAAGTCATCCTCGAGCCCCATGAGGGACTTCATGGAGTCGATGATGGAGATGATCGTGGAGAACAACATCCGCGAGCCCAAGGATTTGGAGGAGCTGCTGGCCTGCTACCTGTTCTTGAATTCCAAGGAGTATCATGAAGTCATCATCAAGGTGTTCGAGCATATCTGGTTTGCTCTTGGTGAAGTAAGAATGTGACTACATAACTGTGGCTGCAATTAATAGTTGCAAGAGAGGATTTGTAAGGTTGGATTATACTCCAATAGTGCAGTAGTTTCTTTTTGAAACTTGTTGGAATTGTTCTTGTATACATAAATCTCTCCTTTTTGATTGCGTGCTTCTGTTCCTGAGATTGGTTGAAATATCTTACAAGCAAATCATGATTCCTGTAATCATCAATCATCATATGGTAACAACATAATTGAATTAATTCACCCAGTCATCATGTTTCATGATGTATTGTAAATGAACTGATAAGTCTCATACCACATTAATTTTCTAACTTAAGTTTGGTGTATATATATATATATATATATATATATATATATATATATATATATATATATATATATATATATATGTATGCAAGGGAGTAAAGACAAATTTGTTTGGAGTTTTTTTGTTGTTTGAAAATGAGTGGCCACAGTCAATAA